TTCTGCCTCACTGGTCACCCACATTGCCTTCTTTCTCTCAAGTCCAACCTTAGCTTCATAGAAACTGTAGAGAGACCCTGCTGCATTCTTAGTTGAAAAAAAAAGATATATATTATATACTGATCATGTTTTTCTCAATCCAACTTGTCCCAGAACCTTCACATATCCCAAATCCATGAACATTTTTCTCTCTCTTTTTAGAAAATAAACAGATAATCCACAAGAAAAAATCAGTCAAACAAACAGATACAAACAACAACAAAAAAAACAGAAACAGGAATAAAGGAAAAAAACATAATACAAATCGGAAACCATATGAAGTAAAAGATCAGCAAGACAAAAAATATATATATCCCAAAATATCTACAAAAGTATCATTGAGTTTCTGTTGCCATTGATGCTGATAATGTAGATATTGTTTTGGCCAGCTACTGTTAGGCATGGGACCTACCTTTAAGCATGGTTAATATGTCCAATGAGACTGTACTGAAGAAAACTAATTTTCCTTTTGTAAGCCAGTGTCACTTGCTTCTTAGGGAGTAGTATGAGCCCATGTCCATTTCCCTTCCCTCTCTCAACACTGAAATGACTCATAAGACTTTCTGCTATAACCATAGTTTATTGCCTTGGACAGTTATAATTAGAGAAGCTTATTCTTGTAGATGGTAACTAAAATAGAGATCTTCAACTGGACAATGTGAAGGGTATGAGAGGTTTAAGAATATGCAGTCCTAAATGGGATGTCTTCATCAAACACTCCTCTCAGAGGCCAGGGAGCTATGCAGAAAACGTGCTAGAAAAATTGTAATAACCAGAAAGGGAATATGATACCAAGGAAACAATGTTTCTTCCACACACAACAGGATTCATGAGCATAAGAATTAACAGGTATTGTAGCAGCATGCACAGTGTCTGTATAGGTTCAAGCCATACAGGGTCTCAGGGGCCACCTTGTTACTCTGCAGAGGGTTTATTCACATAGTGATAAGGTTTGCATTACTAAGACTGAACTCAGACTTCTGATACCACAGTTGTACATCAGCACTGAGTAGCCCCAAGAATGAGCCTGAAGCATAACTCAACAGATTCAATACCCGTGAAGTTGTGCTTACATTCCATTGTTTAGCAAAGTCCTCTTAGAGTTCCTCAAACATATTTATAAATGTTACTTTTTAAAGGCGGTATTCTGTGTGTGTGCGCGCATGTGCACATGTGTGCATGCACATGCACACCCACAGTTTTGATTTATGTGCTTGTGTGTGCCTAAGAAAGGCATCATATCTCCCAGACCAGGAGATACAGGAAGAGCACTACATGATCTTAACTACTGATCTATCTCTTCACTCCCTGTAATTACTAATTTGAGTTCATTGCCTTTGTGTCATCTATTTTTTTCTCAAGAAAGAAAAGGAGGAGGGAGGGAGGGAGGGAGGGAGGG